CGTGGGGGAGGGGGGGCTGGGGGTTGCGGGAAAGTGGGGGGCTGGGTGCTACATTTCAAGCTATTTGGTTGGGTTGGGTGGGTAAGTTGTGGGGCAGTGTGTATGGGTAGTAAATGCCATCGCAAACGTTAATTGCGAGAGAAAAGAAGCCGTTTGCGACGGAACTTTTCCGTCACAAATTTCTAAAATTCTTGTAGTGGAGCATATATAGGAGAGAGTCCTAACACAATTAGAAATAGATAATGAAAACTAACAAAAACACAATATCTTCTATAAATAAGAATAGAAAGCTGGCTAATAATCAAACACTGCCATAAGTTATACTATTTTTATTACTATCTAACATTCCCTCGAGCTAAACTCTTGCTGAAGCAAGAAGAATCTTGGACACTAGTTGTGAACTGGAAACCTTGAGAAGAGAGAAGTCTGACATGCGCTGATAGCTACTAACGTCGATGAAGAAGAAGGAGAAGCCTGACATGCGCTGGTAGCTGATAACGTCTTTGAAGAAGGGAGAAAGCTAACGTGCACTTGTAGGAGTTGTAGCTACCGACGTCAAAGAAGAAGATAAGGCTATTGGAAGTGTCGATTTCACTAAAGATCCTAGATATTTTTTGTCTTTCTCTTTGATATGGGCGATGCCCCGTTTCTTTTTCTCAATTGTGAGAATTTTTATGACTTTTTTTGGAAGGGTAAATTGTAGAGATATTCTTTCTTCTCTCACTAATTCCTCCTTTTGGCTTTGCTTTTGTTTTGATTTATTTTGAGTTTTTTAATTGGTCTTACAGAAGAGAAAGAATGAGAGATTGGAGACAGAAAAAGAAAATTAAAGGAATATGGTTTGGCATGGATTTGAGACAAAGGAGATTGATGATGATGAGCAAGTTCTTGTTGGAAACTTGGAATAACGATTGTGAACATTTGAAAAAGGAGAAAAAATATAAAATTAAACTATAATATCCGAATAAAATATTCGTCTTATATAATATTTTAAATAGTTTTTTACATATGTATTTTAAGAAATTCCATTGGTCTACTCGTAAAAAGTGAACCAGCGTGTTAAAAAAGAATAAAGTTACTAATTCTTAAGATTAGTTGCATGAAACTCACCAAAAACTAATAATTAAGTCACTATGTTCAATCAATAAAAAATAAAATAAACAAATGTAAAATCACTACTCCTTATATTGATTACATTTGCCAATTCATTATAATAATAAATAGGTGGCAGATTACTTGTTAAAAAATGCCAAATAGACTCATCGCATGTCGAAATTCTGTGAGCCGAGTCTCAAATATTATTGTGAAGAATTTATAGTAAAACATTTATGTTATTGTTTTACTTTTCTATCTTATATAAAAATACATTATTACAAAATACTCCCTCAATCTCAAATTATAATGTCTGTTCACTATTCACATGGTCAAACTTCATTCACTTTCTTTCTCTATTTTCGTTAGCAATTTGATAAAATAAAATATTATTGTCACTGCTAGTTTTGTAGATCTTTTGATGTAATTTTTTAATATCTAATTTTTATTTAATTCTATACCATTTGTCATATAAAATGGTTTGAAAATAATTTCAATCAAACATCGTAAACAGAAACAGGCGTTATAAAATGGGATGGCGGTAGTATGTCTTAACATTGATTTTATTAGTTATGTCAAAGTTGACCGGTTTTTATTTAAAAAAAAATGACAAGAATTATAAAATAACTTCTTATGATACTAAGTTACTAACTCCTTCAAAATATGCGAGCACTAATTTGCTAATATAATTATTGTAACCATTCGTTTTCAATTACTTTACTGCACAACTATGCATACAAATTAGAGGCAACATAGATGGGGCAATAACTGACAAACAAATTAGTGGTTGGTTCTGTCTTTTTCCTTGCATGTGCTAAGAGCTTAAAACCACATTAAGCATCCTAAATTTGTTATATATATGAGTATGTTTTAGTAATATATATTTAACTGAAAAGCTTAAGCAGACGCAGTGCCAGCAGGAGCAGCAGCACCTCCACCTGCAGCACCATCACAAACGGCAGGGGATTGTTTGCCAGAGAGCGTAGGCTTGACGTTGCTGCATTCAGAGATGGCAGTGCCATTGGTTCCGTGATATTCTAAATTGATATCACCCACCTCTACTTTCTCGCATGGGACTCCTTTGCTGCAAGCGAGTTTGACAGCCACTTTTGTAGCAGAAGTCCCCTTTATATTCTTAAAGCTGACATCGCTAATCTTCACTTTAGATGGAACTCCAGCCGTGCATTGATTCCATGGGCAATATTCTTGATCGATCAATATTGGGTTGCTGACATTCTCCATCGTGACATCTTCGAAGTGCATGCCAGAGGCAATACCCTCTGGAGATGCTGGCCATGTTTTTATTCTCACACCGTTTGTTGTGCCGGTGAGGGTGCAGTGCTTCACCGTCACTCCTTCTACTGGTTGTTCATCTTTGTATTTTCCTAAGCTTCCAATGCTAATACCATGACCTGGCCCACACTTCACATTCTCAATGCTGACTTGTTTGCTTCCATCCCCAAGAGAGACACAATCATCACCAGTTTTTATTGTTGCACCGAGAATGGATACCCCGGTGGAACGACCAATGTGGATGCCATCGGTGTTTTCGCTATCTCCTGGTGCCGTAATAGTTATGTCACTTAAGGTCACATTTTTCCCCTGAATCACATTCATGTGGAAAAACTTGCTATCTATAGATGTTACACCTTTCACCAGTGCATTTGTTAAACCTCCCAAATTCAAATTCTGCACAAGATACACATAATTTTTAAAAATATAGGTAGATTAATTGAGTAACTATAATAAAAAAAAGCAATACTACGATACTTACAATGGGGAGGAATTTGCAATTTCCACTGAAACTTTTTTTACAGTTATTTGTCTTCCAACCAATCTCGCCTTTGCCTTCGAGTGTGAGGCCAGAGATAGTAAGACCTTCAATGCCGTAGAAAAGGATCCATCCATCTTGTCCTTTAAACAATGAGAGATCAGTTGGTGCGATAAAAGTTGCACCGTCTGCTTCAAAAGTTACTGGATTGCCACATGGACCCAATATTTTCATTGGACCCACCATGTACTTTCCTGCAGGAACTATGAGCTTGCTTGGGTCTGTTGCTTTGCATGCATCTGCCCATGCTTTAAGAATTGCCTAATCCAAGAAAATCATTGTTATATATATATATATATATATATATATATATAGTGTGTGTGTGTTTGTGCACACGCGTGTCATATTTTTTATTTCTACTTTGTTCTTAATTATATGTAACACTTGGCTTATTTTTACCTGGCTATCGTCGGATTGGCCATCACCTTTAACTCCATACGTTTTAACGTTAAACTCGGCGCTTTCCACTCTTGTAATAACAAACACAATCCATGCAAAAATACATGCAACTTGAACCTTCTTCGAACCCATTTCTATCTTTTATTCTTCCTCTATGTTTTTATTACTTTATTTTAATTATTTTTTTACTTTGATAAATGGAAGTAAAAATATCAATGGATCTATATGTATTTATATGAGGAAGAGAAAGATGTACAACCACAAAATGATATGCTCAATTGAAGGCCATTTTTTAGGCAATTCTTTCTCATTTATCTTCCAAGTGTTTGGAATGTATGACTATGGAATAACGAGATTAATTGAGGTCTGCTTAGTTTTTAGCCGATTATATTTTATGTTGCCATTGACTAATGCTCCTTTTAATTTGGCCATCCATCTATAATTTCTTTCTTTAAAATTATAAGATACATTGTGTTTTTAATTAATAAATTTTATAATTATCTTGTATTATAAAATAGTGGTGTATATTTAAAAAGTATATTAAAACAACAAAAAACATATCTTAAATACTTAGAAAGTAAAAATTTTATTAAAAAATTAAAAATAAGGGTTTTTATTGTTGGAAAGTGAAGGGTTTATAAATATACCAGGAGTAATAAATATAATGATTTAATACAAAATTGAATATGCATATGTAGAGTGACATGTGTCTTGTGATTTACACGTGAAATGACATATGTGAGTAATGTGCACGTGTGGCATGACACGTGTCATCACCCCAACTAACCCCCACCCTGGCCAAACCAACACACTTTGTCCTCACTAGTGCGCGCCCAAGGAAAACTTCCCAGGGGGTCACCAATCCTAGAATTGCTCCAGGTCAAGCACGCTTAACCTTGGAGTTTCTAGGTGATGAGCTCTCGAAAAGAAGATGCACCTTGTTGGTATGAGTAGTACTATCAATCCTTTTGAGCTCTTCACATTCCCATCTTGATACGGGGTATTACATATATATATATATATATATATATATATATATATATATACACACACACACACACACTAGTCTTTTAACCCGTGCCATGCACGGGTGGAACGAATTTTTAATTTTTCTTTGCTACAACATTTTTAAAAAATCGTATATACCAAATAAAACATCAACATTAAAAGTTAGAATAATGATAAAATATACTTCTTCCATATCACAAAACTTTTCTCGTTTTGACTTTTCAATGATTTATTTTGATGTTGATCTTTCAAAACTGTCCTTCGATAAGATGGATAAAAAGTAAGATGTGATGGGTAGATTAATAGTGAAAACTATGATGTGATAGACATGTTAAGAATTGATAACGGCAAAAGTGAGTTTTTAATAGTGATGAGAAAGGTTTTTTTGGGACGGATGAAAAAAGAAAGGAGAAAAGTTTTATGGGATAGAGGAAATATAATCTTTGCTAATGAAAATTATACTATATATATTTGAAAGTTAACATGTCAGACTTATTTAAATTAGAACATTTTGAAAAATTAAGGTATATAACATTTTTGTGTGATGTTATAAAAGATTACCAAAAACATCTAAAACTGATACTTCCAACCCGACTTTACTCTCACTCACTAAATCATAATATTGGTGGAATTATTAAGAGCATCAATCACATTGTTGCAATCTATTTCCGCAAAGATATGTCTCCCATCTTTGTTCTTGATAAAGGTTCAAGCATCATTTACATAAATTACCTCCACTTCTTTAGGTCTGAAATATCCTCTACCATTAAAGCCCCTTGATAATTTCAAGCAATAAAATGAACCTCAACACTCTATTAGTCAACACTGTTAAAGCATCAACATCAATCTTGACGTAGCCATTATACAACCATCATTGATAGGCAAAAAAATGATTCTCCCCATATTAGTTTAGATTATCGAATAAAATTAATTCATCTTCCCGCATTAATATTATTCTACTTCCTCATATTGATTAAAAATATATTATTTTTCTTTCCACAGTTTAATTAAAAAATATATTGGTGATTCTATTATTATTCTCCTTGCATTAGTTATGACTCAAAGAATATGATTTTTCTATCCTGTGTCACTTTTTTAATTTTGAATAGCAAAATAAATATTATTCATCTCTCACGTACCATCATGATTTGCCTCTGTGACATTGATTAAAAAATATCGAAATGATTCTTCTCTCCAAGCATAAGTGAAAAAATAAAATCTTAGATTAAAAATCCTATAATTCAAAAAATAAAAATAAAAAATTATTAAGAGTAAATTCCATAATTAGTCCTTTATAACAGGGTGGTTTCCATATTTAGTCCTCTATTATCAAATATTACCCTCGTAGTCCTTTTTTAAGGGTACCATTCCACAAATGGTCCTTTTTTTATCTTCTGCCGTGTTTGTGTTAATTTAAAGGCTAAAACTATAATTTGACGTCAACATTATGTCTAGTGACGTGTTCTGATATTGGCTAAGCGGATAACACAAAAATAATGACTACGATTATGGGCTAGGATTCTGACGAAAGATCACATTTGTAGACTATAGTTGTCGTAAAAAGCGACTGTAATTCACAAACGACGCAAACGGAACAGCCTTTGGAATTGTGTATGACAAAAAAGATATATTATCATTGTGAAATTAAACTTTTAGCCCTCAAATTAACACCAACATGATAGAAGATCAAAAAAAGGACTATTTGTGGAAAGGTACTCATAAAAGAAGGACCACTTGGGTAATATTTGATAATAGAGGACTAAATAGGGAAACCCCCCTGTTATAAAGAACCAATTATAGAATTTACTCAATTATTAAAAATCCAATGATTCTATTCATTAGCATTAATTAAAGAAATTAATAGAAAAAATATTAGTGATTTTATGATTTTGAGTAGAAATTTACAAAAATATTTATAGTTTATTTTGTGTTTTTTCTTTTTATTTGAGTACAAAATTACTCCTTTTTTAATTTATTTGATTTAAATATTTGATCATTTTGAAAATAGGCTAGTCGTTTGTAGTAGTTTAATGCAGAGATCAAAATATATTTTTTTAAAATTTTATTTTATATCAATATATAAAAAATAAAATAAAAAACTAAATTCATTTAAGTGTGTCATAAAAATATGATTTTTTAGAGGTTATGAAAGTATCTATTTTAAAGGAAGGAAATCTCATTTATTCATTGATAGTTTTATTATAAATGTTGTGAAAAAATATAAAACTTTAAAAAATGTATTCTCATGAAAGTGATGATCTATTTTTCATAATTAAATTTGTTTCATAATATTGAAATCATAAAGAATGTTCGTTTAAATATAGTATGTCTTGGTAACACATTTTTTATATCAATTGTTAACTATAATTTAATTAAAAATATCACATCACAATTCTTAAGAGATGACTAAGAATATTATAATTTTAAATTTAAATCATAAATAGTCTAAGGACTATAAACTATAAATTTTATATAATAAAGTCAAATCATAAAATCAATATAATCGAACTATGAAATTACGCACAGTATTTTTTTCTATTGTAATATAATTATAGTTTACTCATCTCTTATTCTATATATCTTTTGATATAAATTTACAAATATATTGTGTGTTTTAAATTTTACATCAATATTTCAATGAATCAAATCAAAACTAACTTCGTTCTAACATATCATAAACAAAAACTTGTATCAAATTGATTTATAGGTTAAAAACCATCTTATCTATTGGTTGAAAATTTTTATATAAAATAAGAGAGTAAAAAGTTTTGAATTGGAAAAGGAAATTATCATTAAAACGAATGTTTCATTTGCATACTTAAATTTATTCAAAGATTTCATACTAAGATATTGATTTCACATTTTTTTTATATTTTTAATTGAGTGGAATAATAGATTATAAGCTGTCAAAATTAATATTAAAGTTATTTATTGGTGAAGAGAGCAATTTATTTATTAGGTGTCAATATTTAAATAAATTTAATCAAAAAACTAATTTCAAGTAAAGGTATAATAAATAGTTATAAATTTATTTATAGGTGAAGAGAGTATTTTATATTTTATTCTAAAATTTGTTATAAATAAAGAGAAAAAATATAGAATTTAGAAAGAATATTATTGTAAAAAGGAATTTTTTCCCCATATTTATATTTAATCAAATATTTCTTACCAAACTTTTAATTTATATTTTCCATATGAAAAATTATGTGACATTTAGATGTTAGAAATGGCTATATAAAAATAATTTTCTTTTCTTTTTATTTAGTTCATAAATTGGGTCGCATAAAAAACCACATAAGTAATGACACATGTGAGCTCTAAGTAATGCCACATGTCAGCTTCTAGCAATGCCATATGTCATCTTCTTAGAGCTTGGAGTCTCATTTATATATATAAAAGATATTTATATTTAATCAAATACGGAGTATTTTTTAGCAAACTTTTAATTTATATTTTCCATATGAAAAATTATGTGACATATTAGGTGTTAGAAATGGCTATATAAAAATAATTTTCTTTTCTTTTTATTTAGTTCATAAATTGGGTTGCATAAAAAACTACATAAGTAATGACACATGTCAGCTTCTAGCAATGCCACATGTCATCTCCTTAGAGCTTGGAGTCTCATTCATATATATAAAGGATATATATATATATATATATATATATATATATATATATATATATATATATGATATATATGATATAGGATAATTTCTAATTCGTTTAAGATCAAAATATGAATATCATAACAGTGTGATACAAGGGTATATGATGAAAAAGTGATGATAGTGTAATATAAAGTATAGTCAGTCAACTATATTGGTGATCAGCGACGACACGTTGGTGGTCGGCAATGACAGATTGACAAATGGTGTTATGGGAGTGATAATGCGGTAATTGCAGTATGACAATGTAGTAAGTGTGACAGTATAATAATGACAGTGAGAATTTCTATTTTGATTTTAAAAGATTTACGACTATTCATAATTTTTTATTCTTATCTAGGTAATTCTTGTTTAAAAAAAATTTCAGACAAAAGATTTTTATAGAGAGGTTTGATGGTGAAAGAGGCAGTTTATCGATTCCATTATCATCTCTCTTCTCTTCCCCCTTCATACCAAGCTTCGAACTCTTGACATAGTAATTTGAAAAATCTCTATCAAACCAACTAAGCCAAAGAGGGGATAGAAGTACATTGCACACTTGCACTGGTCCGTGATCTGTATGGTCCCAAAAATGTACCCAGTCTTGCCCAGCTGCCCTTACTCAGTCACTCAATGTCCCATTCTCATTTCTTTCCAAATTTAAGACTTGTCGCTCTCATATTCTATCCCATAGTGCTCCATTGTTATCCTAGCCTCAAATAGTCAAACACCTCGTAGGCATCTCCTCTCATAAAGATTATCATTCATAGCATTCATATGGGCCCAGTTCATCATCTTCTTCCTCAAGCGGTAACTCGTAAATTGTTTGTAATTGAGGCTCTCTGAGGGAATCAAATGCACAGAACTTCCAATTCCCACAGACCCATTGCACATAATCGTATTACCATTGCATAGCCATGCCTGTCCGTTTCGATCTCAAGGACTTTCAAGATAAGCTGTCAGCTCAGCTGAGGCCATGGCAGCGTTCTTTCCAATTCTGGGCTCGCACTGCTGAAATCTATACTGGGTATAAAGTAAGCAAATCAAACCTCCGGGATCGGAGATAGATAAAAGTTTGATCTTTTATATATACACGCAGTATAGGCTTTTTAAAACGGAGTACATAATTTGTCCTTTTATTTTTGTTGTGGATAGGCATTTCAAGTGAGGGTGAGCTTTGAGAAGGATTTAAAGAAGCAGGAGGCTCTGTGGGAGAAACAACATGAGCTTGCTGCAGAGAAGATATATAATATGTGCTCTGAACTTGGTGGATTTTTCCTGAAGGTAGTATTTTTTTCTCTTGTTGGAAGGTTTGGTTTAATTTTATAATGAGGGCAACTCCAAAAGCAGTATATTTGATGGAAAAGGTTAAGCTCATAAATATATCAATTTTCTCTGTTGAATTAGATGTATGGTTATATTAGGGTTAGTTTTTCCTTGGAATCGATGTGTATCTTCCCCGGTGAGATTGAATGTTAGTTTCTGCTGGTATTAGATTGCTCAAATCATTGGGAAGCCAGATTTGGCTCCGGCTCCATGGGTCAAGAAGCTAGTTACCCTATGTGATCAAGCCCCTGCTACACCATACGGCGTGATCAAAGTAGTGTTGGAGAAGGAGTTGGGTCAAAGTGTTGATGACCTGTTTGAAAGATTTGATGTGCTCCCACTAGGGTCTGCTTCCATTGCACAGGTTGTTTCCTTATTGTGTTTTTTTTCTACATCTTCATCTGCAATTCAGAGGCGCTGCTGCTATTGAATATACGGAGTAGTCTTTATTTCCTCTTTGAATGTCTGATGCTAGGGTATTGGAATACCTATGTGTGATTTTAAATGGATAGGAGATAGGGAGTATCATTTTAAAAACCAGCTTCTTTAAGGTCTTACTTTTTTGCTGCTAAACCCTTGGATCTGTTTGTAATGATCAGGTTCACCGTGCAAGGCTTAGAGGCGACAAGAATGATATCGTTGTCAAGGTTAGACGAAAAATTGTTCTGCAAAACATATGTAAATAGGTTGTTAACTGTAGTTGTAACTGTAGGTCCAACATCCAGGAGTTCAAGAACTAATGATGACTGATATTCGTAATCTGCAAGCCTTTGCACTGTACATGCAGAAGACAGATATCAAGTTTGATTTGTTCTCCGTGACCAAGGAAATGGAGAAACAGGTCAGCAAGTCTCGAAATCGATCATTGTATAATCACCATTTTTATTTAAAGAAGCACAGTATATGATCACCTTATTATTTTTTAGTGCAATGAAAATAGTACTTTTTGAAATGAAGTTTCTTTTGCTTGTGCTCTTCAAGATTAGTTATGAATTTGACTTCACGAGGGAGGCTGATGCTATGCAAAGAATTCGACATTTTCTATGCGAGAATAACAAGAAGTCCCCCGTACAAGTGCCACGGGTGATACAAAGTATGGTCAGCAGGTATGTTCTGTTGAAACATATTTGCTTTAGATGAAATTTGTGATTTTGAACTCAAACTTGCAACACAACCCAAAATTGTTATTGGCTTGCATACAAGAGTCCAAAATGTGTATGCACTTGGAAACCCACATAAATAGTCAGAGATAGTACATGAACATCTTAAGGGCCAATTAAGAAGCATATGCAATTATTTGATTGTTGAAAAGTATCATATTAAACTAGCAATCAGCATGGAATTTGAACTTTGATGTGATTCTTTTGAAAAGCCTACTATTTCACTATATTCACTTATCCGGTCATATTGTACACAAGTTCTCTTCTCCTCTGCAGTGTGTTTATTCTATCATTAATTGATTCTTTCACACACATCCATGCACATATGTGCAATGTACGACATTATGGCGTTACCCAGCCCACTAATCATTTTTCTCGATGTTAATAGGAGGGTTCTAGCGATGGAGTATATAGATGGAATACCTATTCTTAAGATTGGGGATGAAATGGCAAAGAGAGGCATAAATCCTAGTGGCAAGTTGGCGGTAGCCGCAAAGCAGTAAGCGCCTAGATATCCATGTCTGTGCTTGCTTTTCATCTTAGTTGTAGCTGCATATTTGCATTAAATGTATTCAGTTATTCCTTGAACTTCTATCACAGGTTAGGGACCTCTTTAATACGCCTAACATTATTTTCTCTTTTATACCCCCCTCCCCCCTCTCATAGCTTGCCGGTTTACCCTTAAATATAACCCTTTCTGATGTGATATATATTTTCAATCTCTGAGATGATGCAGTGTTATTCTTTAAAACAGACAAGGGCCATGGCCTCTCTTTCCATTTTATTTATTTATGGATCCCTGCTTTGGTTGGCATGTATTTTTTTGAAGTGGACATCTATATATGTGTACCAAAAGGGAAAACATTGTAGTCCTTTTATTGCAATCCAAAGTCACACATATGAGTTCATTTTGGGTAAAATCTGAATGCAGCTTTTTTTGAACACTAATAACTCTGTTCATACATATTATCTCGATGGCCATAAAAATATACCTTGTTACTTGTGAGCATCCCAAAGAAAACAGATGACCATACTCCAAGCATATTTCTTTGGTTTGACACCTCTGTTCAAAAGAATTGGAATGGGCATTTGGGCTTTTATATGTTTATCTTTTAATTTAAAGTTAATTTTTTTATGCAGGAATATCCTTAACAGTTTATCACTTGCATATGGGGAAATGATACTAAGGAGTGGTTTCTTTCATGCAGATCCCCATCCTGGAAATATTCTCATCTGTAAAGGTTCACAGGCAAGCGAGTTTTTTCATTCACGGGAATCTCCAAACTTTTCCCCTATTTCATGAATCTGTTTCATGTGCTCATTTCCAAATAATGTATCAGTTTGGTTCAGCATTACATTTACCAGTAAGTCGTTTCCCTCAGGTTGCATTGCTCGACTATGGGCAAGTGAAGAACCTTCCGGAGAATTTGAGACTAGGATATGCTAACTTGGTTCTTGCTATTGCTGATAATGACCAAGAAAAGGCAGGGCACAGTTACAGGTATAGGAAAGATATTAACTGAAGCATTGAACCAAACAAACTTCTTCCATTCTTATACTCGGATGCGCCTAGCTTGCATTGTGTACCAGTACTGCAGAAATGGAGAAATGGCAGTGCAAATCGTATATCCTCATGAATACTAAGTTTATTTATATCTGTATGGTAGAGAGCTTGGGATAGACACTTTGAGCCAATGTGAGGATGAACAAAAAGAATTGCTTAGGCTGGCACAGACTATGTTTGATACTAAACTACCCCCTGGCGTGACAATGCTTCAACCTTTCGCAGAAGGATCTTCAATTAAAAAGATTGCTGTTTCGGTACGCTCTTAAAAGACGAGGGCAATTTGGGCATTTTAATGTGTTATGGTTGAAATTTATTCTCACCTGGTTGTAGGCTTTTCCGGAGGAACTGTTTTCGGTTCTTCGCACCGTGCATCTACTGAGAGGGCTCAGTGTTGGACTTGGGATTAACTATTCAGTTGCTGAGCAGTGGAGACCCATTGCTGAAGAAGCACTGTACCTGGCTGGAAGACTTACAGGTCAGTCTTTCTTTCAGGAGGTTCTTGATTGAGAACCGTAGGGCATGTTTGGATTGCTGAAAATGCTACGGGAAGGGGGGAAAATAGCAAAAGCTGTTGTCTTGTGTTTGGTTTCACATTGGAAAATGCAAGCATTTCATTCTTAACTGCAAATTAATGCATATTGATCAATAGCAGTTCCTGGTTCATTTGGAACAACGTTTCTGGTTAGCATTTAGAACAATCTTTTTGACGGGTTCAGATTAAATCATAAAATGTTGACACCAAAAGCCATCATTGGATAGCGTTTTCAAAACGCTGAAGCTAAACGCCATAGCTGGTGCCAAACAGCCTTCCGTAGGACATGGCGCATTTATTAATTATTCTTTGTGGATAACATTTCAGGGAAAGAGCTCAAAAGTGTGCAGAGGAGAGGCTTTTTTAGAAGAAAACTTTGGAGATAATAAACACCCAATACTACTTTTTTTTGTTCCCCCTCCCCCTCTATTTTTTTAAACACTTTCTTACTAATCACTCCACTTATTAATACTCCATAATTAATATAATTGAGTCCTAGTTTAGGTTGTATTCCCTCAGTCCCATTTTATTTTCGCATGATCAATCGCGCTAAATAGTAAATACCTCTCGTGGTCAAATAAGATATTTTCCCCCTTATATTATTCTCTTTTCTCCAAGTTGTAACAACACCCACACGTGAGACATTGTTGAGAATATTGTTTTCCATTTAATGTTTTAAATATTTTTTTAATGATTTATATTAACAACAATGAATTACTCTTTGCTTCATTACAAAGCATGCCAATCCGGGGAGGGAGATAGAACTCTCTATATTTTTATTTATATATTTATTGAGATAGTCTTTTATTATTACACTCCACACACCTTACAAGTATTCTATTTTTCTTTTGTATCCATTTTAAAATAGGTTTTTCATTTGTTCTTTTTCTCTTTTTAGCAAAGATATGTAATCCAAAATATTTTTCTTTGTTTGAAATATTCCTTCTATCTCAGAGTATATGTTCATTTTTGACTTTTTTTTTAGTCAAAATTGGTAAACTTTGACTCCAAATTAAATAAAATTTGTATTAGACTTTGATACAAACTTAGTTTTGTTAGAGTTATTAAATAAAATATTTTCAAAATATTATTTTATCTAATTAATATACAATATATATTTTATTTAATTATAGGTCAAAGATTGAAAATGATTGACTGAAAAAAGATTAAAATGGAGAAGTACTCTGGGATGGAGATAGTAATATTCAAATACTTGCCTTTTTATCCTAAATTATTTTTTATAGAGTACTTTTCATAATTCATGTTAATTTCTTTTTGATATTTCACGGAAATAATGAAAAGCACACTATTAAAAATAATTTAGGATATTAGAGAGTATTTGAATTTTATTAAAATATTAATAATTTAATTTATGTTGGTGTGATATTATATGTATGCTCCCCTTTCAAGTTATAATCAAGAAAATTTCTGAGTACTCTGTAACTCATTGGATAACGTGTGTAGGCTTGCATACGATTCCACTTTTGAACCAGTCCCAGAATCAAAACCGGCTAAGTACTAGCCAGGTGGGGTGAGGAACTGGTATCGTGACTGCGCACAGTTGTACCGATAGCGATGCGGGGTTAGGAAGGAACCGGCCAATATCGATCAGGTTTCAAATCGTTTATTTTTTTATTTAAACGTTGGGTGGAGGGCGTTGCCAAAACGTCTCTATNGGGGTTAATTTTCTTTCCTATATGTACTCTCCCATTCCTACCCTAAACACCACTCTTATCTCCATTCTCTGCCCTCACATGCATTGAAAGATTACTGTCGTTCTAGGAATAGAAAACCGATAACATTTTCCAAAGACATTACGATATTGTGGAACACTACGTATAAGTTGATTGTATAACTTTTCAGATAAAAAGATGGGCTTGCTTCCTTTCTTAAGTTTGAACTTTCTCATGTGATCGATATGATTGAATTTATTAATGTCGAAAAACTGTCCAACGTGTTAGAAGTTTTTAATTATGCAACTCTATCTTTTTCCATGTTTACAAGCCAACGAGTAACAAAATCTTTTCTTAATGTATTAACATTGCTATATATTTTTGTGAAACTATGACTCATCCACTCTTGATACCTATGTCTCTCCTATGGAGGAAAAATGGTGTGCTTATTACTTGTACATACTTGATATTTACAAAATTGGTACTTATTCCGTCCGAAAATATTCTTCTCATTACACGTTATAAGCTTGACTCATTTTATTTTGAATCTAATTTAGTTGATTGTGGATGTAAATTAAAAACAAAATTTATGTATTTAAAAAGTAAGTTTAAATTTCTACATAACAAGAGGTAACCTAAATATATTATATTATGAAATGAGTAGTGAAAATAATAAAACAACGTAAATGAAATTTGACTGTGTGAATAGAGCGCGAGAAGAACATTTTCGAACGGAGAGAAAGAATTTTTAAGTTCTCAAATAGTAATGCTATACTTATTTCTTGGATGAAAATGATTACGGAGTATTATTATCTAATGCTAATTGAAAACGTTATTCTGAAACAAGGCCCATTCAGCCGCTACTGGTTCGGGACGGGTGGAGGTCTACACGCGTGCTTCATGCCAAGGGTGATTGAGACCATTTACAAAGGAAAATTTACTTAAATAGCAATAAAACATAATGATTTTCCCTAAATACGGGAATCGAACCCGTGTCTTCGACATGAAAAGACGATGTCCTAACCATTGGACGAAAGGGACCAAAAATCAGTCGAATGAGTGTAACTATTCGTTTCACTATGTTACACTTCACAAACTATGTTACACTTCACATAGGTAACATAGTTACACTCATTTGAAATGAATATGAGTTGAACAACGTACAGAGAACAGAGATAGTTCAAAGACTACGTCTCTCCTGCTGCAACCTTTGCCTCTATTATCTCTACTTCTGGGGACACGAACTATATCATTATTCAAGTAATGTTCGCCATCACTGAACATTATTAATTATTATTTAGGAAATAAAACCGTTTAAATATTATTTAGAAAAATAAATTAAGTTTAGTGCTATTTAATGCAAATATTTCATTTAGAAATTAGAATGCACACTGTAATAACTTGACCCCTGGAAAACCAAGAACCGGCAGAGCGAGGGATAGAATGGAGGGTCTAACGACTGTAAAATCTTCTGCCTTTCCTTGCGTTTCTTCCGCACTCTCTGCTTCTCACTCACCGGCGAAGAAAACATCTCACTTAACCTACCTCCCCGCCGGCTCCCGGAATTTATCCGTACGCGCCGCCGCCAACCACCAAGCAACATTGAACCCAGTCCACCGTCTTTTCTCTTATTCCCCATGTCGCCGCCTCCGTGCCCAAAGCAAAGATCAAATCTTTCTTCCTCAATTGGTTGCTTCCATGGTGATTTACTGTGCTAATCGAATTTGTGGATGACCCAGAGTGGAATGGGACTCATTTGTTTTTCTTGATTTTGTGTGCAGGAAGAGACGCAGCAGACTTATATAATGATCAAGCCGGATGGTGTTCAGAGGGGCCTTGTGAGATTTCATATAATCTTTTTAATTTTTCTTTCTTGATTTGCAGTAATTCGATTGTATAGTATAAAGTAATTATCCCTGCTCCATTGTTTATGATAGGTTGGAGAGATAATTTCTAGGTTTGAGAGAAAGGGGTTTAAGCTAATAGGGCTAAAGCTCTTCCAATGCCCCAATGAGTTAGCAGAGGTTTGTCTTCCTCAAGCTTTTAACTTTAGCTAATTAATGAATATTGGGCTGTTTTGTGTTGTGCATTATCATGTTCTTGTGTCATTTTTATGATCTTTTTGAAGATTGTTCATTGTTCTCCAAAAGAATGTTCATTTCCCGTCTTTTATGTGTTTATGTTGTTCTGTTCTGATCATTTTCCCTTTAAAGAATGCTCATTTGACTCATTATTCATTTACAGTTAGCCCAGTATATCCACATGTATTATACGCCTTCAAGAGTTTAGGCTGTTTGTATTGAAGTGTTTTTAATGGTAACAGGAGCATTACAAGGATCTAAAGTCCAAACCTTTCTTTCCTAAGCTGATCAAATACATTACATCTGGTCCTGTTGTGTGTATGGTAAAGTTCTTCTTTTTTTGTTTGCCCGTTTATAAAATAACCTCCAAATCTGATTGTAAGTATATGAGCAGTCCTTCTAAGCTTTATTGAGCTGTTTAAAGAAGCCTCAAACCTTCTTGATCATGTTTAGGCTTGGGAGGGAATCGGTGTCGTTGCATCAGCCCGAAAGTTAATAGGAGCTACTAATCCTCTTGATGCTCTACCTGGTACCATCAGAGGCGACTTTTCTCTTCAAACTGGGAGGTCAGCTAGGTCTTTTTTCCTTTCCAATATTGGAGGTAGGATCAAGAGGTTTAGTTATTGAACCCAAGATTTTTGTATGAGTGCAGGAATGTGATACATGGAAGTGATAGCCCTGAGAATGGCGAGCGCGAAATCGGTATGCCTTTTATCCCGAGTTTTGCTTTATGTGTTATAAAGGAAACCTTTTTTGAGTTAACTGGCTGGATGGACCCTACTTTTTTGTGCGATTTTACTGGATTTGTTGTTCTTATGGTTAACTGGCTCAATGAAGTTTGCATATATCTTCTCTAGTTTTTATTCTGCTACTTGGCTTAGGTAGTGGGCGTGAGGAAGGGTAGATATAGACCTAGGAAGAGGTTGACCCGACATAACTTACGACTTCAGTACCTTAAATAGGATATGACTTTAGATAGGCGTGTCTTTAAAGTAGTTGGATAGACGTTTGGGTTTTTTCCCCTTGTTGCCTATGTTTGTAGCTTGTGCATGTGTGTTTTGTTTTGTTTTGTTTTTGTGCTTTGGGTCTAGTGTTATGTTTACTTTGTCTGTGTTTTTGTGTTGAGCCGGGAGCCTCTTGTAAAGAGTCTCTCTACTTCCAAGTAAGGATAAAGAATAAGATTGCTTATTAGATTGTTGTTGTTGTTGTTGTCATTGGCTTAGGATTGTTCTCTTTGTTTACAAACCTTTTACTAAAAACAAGCTGCTTCTACACTGTGAAATAAGCTGTAATGCACCATCTCTCTTCCTTTTTGTGCAGATCTTTGGTTCAAAGAAGGAGAATTATGCACATGGACACCGGCTCACGAGCCGTGGTTGATCGAATAACAGACCGGTCGCATCTGTTGTTCCAATTAATGGGAGAGGAAGTGATTTGATTGTTTCACTTTGACAATTTCCCACAAATGAAAACGTTGGGAGAGAATGAACAAGGGACTGAATACTTATAGGCCCTATTTGACAGCCTTTAGTTATTTCTATGAGGGGTTTGTATTACCTGGTTTATTAGTAATTTCCTTATGGCTATTTAAGTATTTTATTAAATTCCTAATGTGGGCTTTGTGAGAAAATAAGACTCAAACAGAATTAAAATAATAATTAGAATGACTAGCTCCGGGGTATTATACATGATAAGAGATGCTCTTACCCAACACTTATACACTTCTAATAACTATTCAGCCAAAAGTGAAAGACTTCTTTTAGTTCAGTGAAATTTGCACTAAATAGTAACAAAACATGTCTCTTTTCAATGTAATACCTAAAACTTTTTATTTCTTAAATAGTACTTGAGCAATGTCCAGTGACGGTAAATATTTGGTAAATATTTACTTGAACAATGTCCAATGAACATTGAACAATGGTATTACACTGAAAAATTAAAACATAACTCAATATGTTTTAGTACTATATAAGT